GCGCTGCTCCGAGGAGCGCCTACAGGATGGCGGCCTCTATATTCTGGAGAATGGCCTCAGCCTCTTCCTGTGGGTGGGCATCTCCGTGCCGCACGATCTCCTGAAGGCTCTGTTCAACGTCGACACGTTTGGCCAAATCGACGGCGAGATGGTGAGTGCGCCCTGCGAGGCGGCGACCCTTGACATTGTTCAGATGGAGTGAATGGCGTCCTCGGTGGCTAAATGTTACATGCCTAGCCTGGTATTATAGGTCATGGGTTTGATCCTGACCCTGATGCCTGCTGTATATTTGGAGCTTGCATGTTCTCCCTGCGGTCGTGTGGATTTTTCTCCGGGTACTCCGGTTTTTCCCTCCAGATTTAGAAACATGCATTTAGAGTATATAGCTACTATGCATTTCCACATAACCCATTTCGTTGAGCTATCATTTGTGACCAGGTCGCTTCTGAAAATGAGCTATCTAGCTCAGTGGGCCTTACCTGGTAAAATAAAAACAGTTTAGTACATTCTTAGACAGTGCGAGGATGATGTTGAGAGTGCATGTCCTACCGAGTACAAGGCAGTTAGGTGAGTGATTGGAAATGTTTATATTTGGAACTTCACACTGTATGTAGCCAACCGTGATAATCGGAGGTGCAGGGAAAGGACAACAAACTACACACAAAAAGCAGTTCTTAAGAAATTAGTTTTCAAGTGTGTGAAGTGGTTAGTGTGGACAATATGTGATGGTGAGCATTAACTCTGTGAGTTGGTGATTGCAACATTGTGAATACCAATGGTGAGATAGTCATGTTGAGGTGGTGGGTTGTCCTTATGATAGACCAGGTAATGTGTGAAGTGGTGCAAAAACTTTCAGTTTCAGGATACATTTTCAAAAGGACTCTGCCTACCTTTACAATGCCAGCTCTCTTACATTCAGATTTATGAGTGTAGGGAGAAGACTTTGTGATCAGACTAAAACTCAAGACGGATCAGATACGATAGTCATGTTGACGATAGTGAATATTGTGCAGCAGATGTTAACGAGTTGTGGTGATGATCGCAAATTGCCTGTTTCAGACCATGTTGCCGGTACTGGATAACCCATTCAACAAGCGAGTTCGTGACATGATCGACTCCATCAGAGCCGAGAGACCACGATACATGAAAGTGAGTGCTCACTTTTTTTTCTTGTTTTATAACCTCAAGGGGTGTGTTTGTTCAGAAGCGAGATACTCTTAATTGTTGACGGTTTCGATAATTAATATTTGAAACAGTCAATTTAAATCACAACCGCATGATAACTTGGGCAGACACCATGCCCTCAAGCGGCATCACGGGCACACCACACTACATTTTTAAATGGCCCACTGCTTGCCAAGGCAATCCATGTGCTAATTGGAAAGTGTCTTGAAATGTTGTTTAGTTACTCCCAAATTACTTAATTTTGGAAAGCCACGAAGCAATGTCACTGCTCTACTGGCAGACTTTGCAGGCCGGTGCTGCATCCAACTTGTGCTGCACAGGGACATCTGCCACTGGGGGGTCCCCTTGGCTCGAACTGCAGCCAGGGCATTGGAATTGTTATGAGACGTGTGATGTAAGGCGCTTTGAGTTGCCGAGGCATTTAAACACCCTATAAAATGCAATTATTCGTAAAATGCTAAATTTTAAATGGGGTACGAATGATACTTAATGTTGCATTTCCAATGGCCGTTCCTCGGCCTCCCTTGCCATTTACCCCCTCACCCAATCGCCGTTCACTGCAGCTGATGGTCGTGAAGCAGCGTGACAAGATGGAGCTGCTCTTCAAGCACCTGCTGGTGGAGGACAAGTCCCTGAATGGTGGCGCCACCTACGTCGACTTCCTGTGCCACATGCACAAGGAGATTCGCCAGCTGCTGAGTTAGACTGCGCCAACTCCTCATGTGGCTGGAACTCCCATCGCCCACCTGCCACCGGGAGAGGAAGAGAGGGGCGGAGGTGAAGATGGGGAGGGCAGGGAATGAGAGAGGAGGAGACCCCGTTGTTTGACACTTTAAAAAAAACGAAAACGCAAAAATGGCACACCTCGCCTGTTTTGTTTCGTTCCAATTCAAGCTTCTCGTTAGTGGCCGGTTTCAGTCTCAGAGCAACGCCCATTGTTGTTTGTCTTTTGCGCAAAAAAATGTCACTTTTCGTTTTTCTAGGACCTCGCGACATTGCGCTTTTAAGAGTTCTCAAACTCTTATACCATAGTCGTATATTTCTGCGCGTACATGCGTATGCGCATGCGTTTGAAAGAGCTCCTCTTGTGGCAGGTAGGCACAGGGACCCTACAGACTGCTTGGGAACTTGCTGCCTTAGTTGACAGACCACCTTGCCTTGTGGAAACGGCCACAACATCCAAGTTGTTTATTATTAACATTATTATTAGTAGCAATAGTCACAGTACATAATCATAGCTTAATTTGCGACTTTTTTTCGTAGAATCTGACCTGCATTGGTTCTGGATTCCAAGCTGTGCTACCGTTATAATTTACACTTTGCCGTGTTATATTTTATCAATGTTAGCCTGGGTCTTAATGTTAGGTCTGAGTGGATATTGCCTTGGCCCAGGTGCAAAGGCACACAATGCCATGTGTGTCCTTGCCATAGCCAAAGGATTTCAAGTACAGCCTCCTACACTAGTCAGATTAAATCATGGGCCCAGTATTCTCAACACATCGAGGCACACGCCATCTATATTTGCAGCTGGATGCTTGTTTCCCTGCTGTGTGCTGTAGTTTTTTGGCTTCCAAGCCCCACAACTACACCACATTTTAGTCTTTATTCAAGAGGCAAAGGCAATTGCCTCTTGATTGGCTGCTGGTAATCTCGAACTAACATGTATCTGATAAGATTCCTCACATTCCTGCATAGACCACTTTTGCTACCATAGTTTTGTGCATTGGATTTGAATGGTTGCGTTTGCAGCCTCGAGTGTGGCCTAGCTTGGCTGCTGTGTGCTGCTACTGCACCTCAATGCGTTAGCTCCGCTGCTGTGCAGTGATGAAACACGCTTCCTACTGCAAAGTGCAGGTGGTGGGCACCCCCAGTGTTCGGAGGCCTACAGAGAACAAGTCGCCTCTAAATGGGCTTTCTCATGCACTTACCAGCACAGTGTACTGAGAAAATCAGAACCTATAACTCGATGGTTGCATCTGTGGCACTAAAAGCCACCCTGTCCACGTTAAAAATGTTTTTTAATGGCCTGGCTTTCAGAGTAATGATAGTTCTGAACACAGGTCATCATGGACATTACAATTTGTGGAAATTTATCAGCCTTGCTGGGGTTGGAATTTTATGGAATTGTGTTGGGGAGTGATCAGGATAAATAACTAAAACTTTGAGGTCTTTGTTCTTAAATCTGTAACTGGTTTCTGTTCAAACCAACGGCATAGAATGTATGTGATGTAGTTTTGTACAGGAAAAGATTTGGATGAGACTTATTATGAAGGGGAACAAAGTCACTTTCTGCAAATTATGCTCAAGAGAATTTGAATTTTGATGTCAAGTAAAGCCATGTTGCTTTAACGTGTCAGATTGATTTGCAGTCGGTATTGGGGTGTCCATGAATGCCTGTGTAGAAACTTAAGTTTAGACCTATGTGCTCATTATAAACTGAAAAACAAAAATATCTTCCAAATTAACTTTAAAAAAACAACATACCAGCATTTTAAAATTAAACATCCTTGTGTGCTGTTTAATTTGAACGCTATAAGTGTCCAAAACGTACATGTGACTTTGGATAAATTAAGACTTGGTTGCTATTTGATGTGAATACAGGTGTAGATCATTAAAACAAATCTGGGATAAGATAGCAAATCTACAGCTTCGTCGTACGATTCACAAATGCGTTTAAGCTGCATTATATTTACTTACGAGACTTGTTTTTCCTCCTTCCCGTGTGCGTTGTTTATTTTTAATGGTAAAAGAATGGGACTGGAAGAGAAAGATGTTGTATAATACAGTAGTTGTACGAGCTAGATCCAGTCATTGCCGAATCTTCTGCCCGAGACAGGGCACCAGAAATACATTTGTGCAACTTTCTCCGTCGTCTAACGCAAGGCACAGCGCTGAATTGTGCGTGGCACACCGGTCAGCTTCACCGGGGCTCACAACACTGCAACCAGTACCCTCCAACACAAGGACAACGACCCCACGAAGAAAATGAACAATGGGAGGATGAAATGTGTAAATGAATCTAAGCCTCGTGGAAATCAGATGCCATGTCAACATGATTTGCTGTGTAGAGTCCAAATTGATTTATTTGTTACAAATGGTTAACCCCCCCCCCACCCCGCAACCTAAGGTTTTAGTGATGGTGAATGTTCTTAAGGGCCAGGATCACAGATTAGCATAACAGGAATGTATCAATTTAAATAGATTTTTACACTTGAAACATGCATTGAGAAAATCATGTCTTAACCAGTTATTTCAGATTTAGAGTATACGCATTTACTCCATGTTATGCTAATATACTTTTAGGCTAATAAAATGAAAGACGAGACAAAAAGGAATTCCTGAATGGACCACAGATCATTGATTCCATGGATGGAGGGTGAATTTCTTAACTCATTGTTAACAGCCAAGTTCCTTACATTGCCCATACACAGGATAACATTTAAATGTCGATGGAAAATGCTGGTGCTTAAATAACCATTGGAGCATTTTCACTAAGAACCTTGTACTGTATATGAAATAATTTTGAACGGACATTACCTCCAGCGATGCAGGCTTGGCACGCTGGCAGAACCTACATTAATATATACTTTATATTTCGTGCATCTCAAATGACATTACGCAGCGATAGATGGAGCTGAAGGTAATATTTCCACAAGTTAAACGATTTAAAGCTTTTTAAAATTTTACCAGATAAGGCCCACTGAACAACCTGGCCAAAAATGTACAGCTCAACGAAGTGGCTTGTGGAAATTTATAGCTGACAAATACGTGTGACGCATGTTTCTAAATGTGAAGGGAAACACGGGAGGACCCGGAAAAAAAGTCCGTGACCACGGGAAGAACATAAAACTCAAAATATACAGGCGTCAGGATCGAACCCATGACCTGTATACCCGGCGAGGTAGTTAACATTTCACCACAAGTGTTTTCCCCCACCCTCCCGACTCATTTTCTCACAAGCTCCGTTTATTTTGCCTCTGTTTCGTGGTGTCAGCTTTGTGTCGACGCATGAGGGAGAGGTCGGCTGGGAATTTTGCAATCAGTTGTCACCAGATAAATTTCTGAAACAAAGACTCGGCATGCTTATTCGTTAATCCGTGCTTTTTATCCAGTTTCACCACAACCAGGGTTTTTTGCCCCCGTAAGTTCCTACAATTTCCAATTTTATGTTAAATATGCAATCATTTTTATTAAACAGTTACTAGGATTAATTGCTAGTATGATGCTCGCGTATAATTATATTTACAAGACGGTTTGCTTGGAGTTGTGGATTTGAAGGGACTGGTCTGGATGATGGAGCAGCATTCTCCGCGTGCTGTACAAACAACGCAGCTGTAAAGTGAGTATTGTATTTTTAATGAAATAAATTTGATGCAGAAGTTACGCCTTTGGCTTATCTGCCACCAAAAAAGTCCCATTTGGATACGTGCTGCGGGGAGGTTTTTTGGCATAAAATATAGTTCTTAACCTCGTTTTGATGGAAAGCAGTGGCCGATAGGCACTGGGGTTCATCGTGGCCATGTTGGATCTCAAAGTTCAGGTTGATTTGAATTGGCGATTAAACAAAGTTCAGGTTGATTTGAATCGGCGCTTAAACAAAGTTCAGGTTGATTTGAATCGGCGCTTAAACAAAGTTCAGGTTGATTTGAATCGGCGCTTAAACAAAGTTCAGGTTGATTTGAATCGGCGCTTAAACAAAGTTCAGGTTGATTTGAATCGGCGCTTAAACAAAGTTCAGGTTGATTTGAATCGGCGCTTAAACAAAGTTTAGGTTGATTTGAATCGGCGCTTAAACAAAGTTCAGGTTGATTTGAATCTGCGCTTAAACAAAGTTCAGGTTGATTTGAATCTGCGCTTAAACAAAGTTCAGGTTGATTTGAATCGGCGCTTAAACAAAGTTCAGGTTGATTTGAATCTGCACTTAAACAAAGTTCAGGTTGATTTGAATCTGCGCTTAAACAAAGTTCAGGTTGATTTGAATCTGCGCTTAAACAAAGTTCAGGTTGATTTGAATCGGCGCTTAAACAAAGTTCAGGTTAATTTGAATCGGCGCTAAAAGTTCAGGTTGATTTGAATCGGCGCTAAAAGTTCAGGTTGATTTGAATCGGCGCTTAAACAAAGTTCAGGTTGATTTGAATCGGCGCTTAAACAAAGTTTAGGTTGATTTGAATCGGCGCTTAAACAAAGTTCAGGTTGATTTGAATCTGCGCTTAACAAAGTTCAGGTTGATTTGAATCGGCGCTTAAACAAAGTTCAGGTTGATTTGAATCGGCGCTTAAACAAAGTTCAGGTTGATTTGAATCTGCGCTTAAACAAAGTTCAGGTTGATTTGAATCTGCGCTTAAACAAAGTTCAGGTTGATTTGAATCAGCGCTTAAACAAAGTTCAGGTTGATTTGAATCAGCGCTTAAACAAAGTTCAGGTTGATTTGAATCGGCGCTTAAACAAAGTTCAGGTTGATTTGAATCGGCGCTTAAACAAAGTTCAGGTTGATTTGAATCGGCGCTTAAACAAGGTCCCCAAGTCCAGCAAGTTGGGGGGTCTCGGCATTGTCAACAATGCACACAAAAAACATTCAATTGCAGAAATCCGTTTACTAAGAATGTCGGTTCAATTGCTCATCCACACGATTCAAGGAGCACAATCTAAGTGGATGTAGGAAACCTATTTATTCATAATAAAGGTTTTTGGGTTAGATCGCGTTATTTAAGCCTATTTATGTTACTCGAGTAGTGTCCAATTCCATGGCTTTTTGATATGCTCTGCCAACTGAAGGAGTTCCAGAAGGAAATTTCTTATGACGTTTGACACTGCCAATAGTATGTGGGATATCATTGTGGATACAAAAATAATTTAAAAGCCCAGCATCTCAATCCAACAACGGTATCTGTTATATTGCAACTACTGCCAGTTGAAAAAGGCAACCAAAGAAGCACATTGCTGGAAAACATTTGACCAGAGAAGTCTCAACGGCTCGAGATTATTTCAACACTTAAACAAATGCAGTTTATTTTCATTTCGGGCAATGTGGAGGGACAACACATGATTTACAATGCACATTTATCTATATTATAGCCAACCTGAGTAAAACTGCATTCAAGTTCAAACTTCCAATGGTAAACTCTTCAAATAGGTTATTTCACTTTCCACAAACTCTCCAATTATAATATGCAATTTAAACTTATGCTGTTTGTATCTAAAGACATTTTCAATTTAAATTTTAGTAAACCTTTCACTCCTGTTGCATAGTCTATATAAAACAATGACATACTTGTATGTACTGTATATAACATTTGTAGATTTTTATTCGATGCTCTTGTGTAAAATGTTCATAGGTTGTCGACTCTGTCCTGTTCATTCTTTACGTCACCTTCCGTTTCGTCACATCTTGACTACGCTGTCCAGATTCCTCGGTATTTTGACCCTGCCACATTAAACAAATTTGTAATGATGTGCATTACACAGCCCCTTTCAAGACCCGGCTGATTTTTCTATTTATCTGTCACTATCAATGAGCTCAAATTTGTACACTTTTTTGGTTTGCATTGAATACCACAATTCATTACCCCCACTGCACAACAGTCTTGCTTATTTAGACCTCACCATGTGGTTGAAGCTGATTTCACAATGTTTTTAGTATATTTTTTTTCCTGCACGAATTCCTTGTCCATTTACACTGCAGGTTCATACTGAGCCTCAGAATTAAACCCTTTAATGAAAAAAGCTCAAACATAAACTTGTGAAGTTGGTTAATTTATTTAATGATTTTTAATCTTGGAAGTCAATATATGAATGAGCCAGTAATGCATTTTTTGTTGCGTTTCACTTGAAGGAAGATGCAACCAAAAATATGGCCGTGACGAGTTTGATTGGAAGCTTCATCATCAGCCATGGTCAATCTGCTGCCTCTCCAAGCTGCCATGATCCCGCAAAGCAACAATGATGCTTCTTTAAAGACAAACATGAGTGCTGTCAGTGTGCTTATGATATCACTGCAGTGCGACTCCATTCGATTTCAATAGGTCACTATGGTAATGTCACTAGAAAGCTGCAACGAAGCTCCTGAAAATCATGTTGCCTCATTTTCCTTATTAAAAAGCTTAAATGTCTGAGCCCATGACCCAGCCTAGGTGTGTATTTAAGAGTCGTTTATTTTGGCTGCATCTTTTAATATTCAACAAAGCAGTCAATGTTTCATTAAACAAGCAGGTTGATGTCAATTTATTGGAATATATAGTTGTACAGAAATATGATGATACCATGTCAGGCCACATGGTGATTTACAGTTGAGAGTTCAAATTGTGGCTGGGGAAATCTCAACCCATGTCCAGTGGGGAATTAAATAAACACCACTGAAAAGTCAGTGGTCCTATGGGGATACCGATCCCAGCTGCTGGAAACAGCAGTTTCACAACTGGCTCTGGGCTTCCAGTGTAGGCGAGTACTGCTTCATATTTGGTCGAGTAGGGATGTTTAATTAGTTATTTACCTTGTAAAGCCTCATTGAGTTATGAAAAAAGTATTTTTCCTGATTTGCAGCGCACACCATTCTCTTGCCCTGATTAAATTCAAACAAGACTTTCCTACTCTCTGCCTATGATCACTGCACGCCTCTAAGAAGTGTTTTCATTCGCACCTGCACTATCCTGTTGTATCAATTCCCTCCTGCCTCGTAGCCTGTTATTATTTTACACACAAAAAACATAGTTATATGGATAAACATACCCCCCAATGTGTACAGCATCTTGAGATGTGGTCAATCATCTGTAATAGGTAAGGGGAATGCAGTACCTACCAATAAGTGGATAGTCTACCAGTAGGGGGCACTTTGCTATGTGACTTCAGAATGGTGTCAGCACATTTCTCAAATAACATGGGATATTTAACATCCACTGTGAAGATGGCGGCACGTAATACACCCCCCCTCTTCACCCAAAATATTAACCAGGGCAGCCACCGAGTTCGACCACAAACCTCTGCTCCCAAGTGGCAAACACGCTCGGCCATGTCACCAAAGAGAACTGACTTTAGTTCAACACAGCCACTCGAGCAGGTGTCTTCGTTGACTCCCTTCACAGGTATTTGTAGACGACCTTCTGTGGGACTGCCTGCACTTCCAGCTTGACGGGGCACTTGTAGAGGAATGAGAGTAGCGTCTCGGTGTAGCCGATCAGGAAGTAGTAGCGCATGGGTGGCAGCCTCGTTATCAGCACGGCGCACACCACCAGCACATTTCCGCGCCTCTTCACCACCACCTCGGTCGACAGGCAGCCGTGAAATGTGCCGTACATGAAGCGGCGGATGAACACGTCCTCAATCGAGCGCTCCGCCGCCCCCACCTCGCCGTCCAAATTGGCTACGCAGCGGTACAAGTGGAGATAAACGGGGACATGGCATTCACGTTCACAAAGCAGTTCCCTCCTTTTATTGTAAATTTCCCCACAAATGTTAACCCAATTGTGTTATTGGTATTGTGCAATGAGACAAAGTATATAGTCGCATACATATCCATATGTTGCGTTAGAAAACGGTCAATGGAAGTGGATAGTACAAAGCTAACTTTGAGATACCTTCCATTGTCCTCTGGTCCACACAGCAGATTTAATCTCTTCGCCTGCCTGGATTTAAAGCCAGGATCTCAATGGCACCAGCTCAGCACACTTATCTCTGAGCCACCCTCAGGCAGTTTCTCCCTTCAAAAACACTGCACAGATGGTTGGGTGGTTTGGGAGCCAACTGAAAATGTTAATCCTCAGATGGGGACCTAGCCAAGTAAAGTGAATGAAACCACAACCATTGTTCTTCTTACCAGGCTAACATGACCAAACGTTGTGCTTGAAAATCTGATTTAAACTCTAACTGCTTGGATTCAACATAGGGAACTCCGTGTTCCAACATTAAAATTAGGGGACCTCGGAGGCAATTGGTCACCTGCTCTCACCAGGGTGGAAAGTTTGCTTTTGTGTGTGTATGTACACGTGTGGGTGTAAACTGTTGTACCCAATTACTTGTATAATGGGGCAACATGTTAATCCGGTGATATTCAAGTGCACATACATGTGCCCATACATGTGCATTGGTATGTGTGTATATTTGCGCGTGTTCATGCGTGCAGTGTGTGCATGCGTACCCGTGTGCTGGGAGAGCCATCCCTTGCGGTGTGCAATCTGGTGTGGTGGGTTCGCCTGCTCGTATGTCACGGGCTTATCCCCCTTCCCCACACGAACCCGGCCCGCTTGGTTCTACAGGGCAAGGTGACCAAACATCGCGCAAACGCATTCCAACACACAGCACACTCTTCCACATATAGAAGAATAAGGACAGCCATATTGTTGGGTAGGTAATGTTAGATGGCACCTTTTAAGTACCGGAAAAGGTAACTGAGTGGTGTGACCAGTACCACATCCAGCCTCCTTTGCCATGTCCGTACCGATGCTCACACCCCACGTTGTTCGTACATTATATTGACCATTGCTTGGACAAGACATGACTGTCGTAAAGAATTATGGCCAATTTTCAACAATTATAACAGCCCAAGGACAGAACGCACCCAAGAGAGGTGGAGTCATAAAATCCGTTCATAAGCAGGAATAAGAATATCTGTAACATCGCAGAACAGTGAGGAATGGTAGTGGTGTAGGGACTACTTGAACAGTGGAGGTCAAACGCTGGTGATGAAATCGTATTCAATCTTAAAATTATATACATCTATCATGAGCATCAGAATTCATTCTAGTTGCTAAATCATTCCACGCCCGGTGACCAAGACAAGCGGCGAAGCCTCCGTTCTGCCAAGGTACCTTGAGACACACTGCGCTTGTTTGTAGTCCCTGTGGGCATACGGGGAACGCCGCCATCGGCTGCCTTTTCGCACACAGAATGCCCTGGGAATTGACACGGGTACAGCAAACGAGTACAGTAAAGGGTAAGAGCAGTGCTGTCTGTATCCAGGCTACCAAGCTGCACGCATTCAACCATTCTCACACGCACACGACTCGCTAGTCCAGACCACGTTCACCTCGCCGACACGTACACAACTCAAAACGCTGAAGCATTAACCGCCTGCCACTATTACTCTTCAAAGTCAATCGCGTTCCCATGGCGGGATCCCGTATCTCCGTAAAAATTCCGTTCACAACAATACAAATTCACGGACATTGAACCCACTGATGAGAAGTGACGCCATACGCTGTGCATGTCTCATGGGTTATTCGACCATACTTCACCTCGCAGGGTCATTGCGGAGGGTTGGTGAAGGCGGGAGCATAGAAGTACAATACAACAGTTTATATCGCTGCACTGCCCTCCACTGCCTTACAAAGTGGCCTCGAAATCGATAAGGTCTCTGTATGATCGATGAGGTCTCTGTATGATCGGTCAACCATCGAAGCGCTCCCAAGGCTAGGCCCAGGTTAGCTTCAAATATCAGACGAGTATTGGACAGCGTTCCGGGTAATGCTGTAACAGGCAACCGCGTTGTCTAAATAACAACACAGCTAGGTTCTTATAGTCAGCGCATTCAGTGTAAATATAAAGTCTTTGACATTCAGTTCACATGCTTGAAATACAGCGTTAAGACTAGCGCAGGCCTTTAAAGGGCTGCGCGCCGCTCTCAAACCGCGCTTGCAGCTCGCGGGATTCGTATCTCGCCGCTTGTAAGAGAACAAGGAGCGAAACAGGCAACTAATTATACAGGTAACTGAAAATGTAATTTCATGATAAATGTTTATATATTTTATTTCACCCGAAGCGGCGTGAAGGCGAACACCCTTGACGCTGCCATGGGGGCCGCCATGTCGAGTCGCGGTGGATTCTGGGTAAACACGTGGGGCTCATGCAGCCAGACTAAAGCAGCAGCAGCAGGCACTTTCACTGAACAAATGCCTTAGAAGCGGAGGTTTCATCCATTTAGTTAAATATTTGTATCAGGAATTGCAGAATCAAGTACTATGTGGTTGAACTTAAAATTCACGCACATCAATAATTATCTTGCACGCGGCGTTAAGTGGGGAATAAATGGTGGACGATAAGATGAGAACGAATTTGCCAATGAAACTCCTAATCATTATGAGACCTCCTTTGCCAGTAACAAGATATAGGAATAGGTTTTACCCTTTTAACTGGCACGAAAACTGACACCTTTATTCAAGGCATCATGTTTCTGGTCCAACACCAGTGGAGACTAGGCTCTAAGAAAAGCCGTCTCGGGTGTGGACCAATCAAATTCAAGGACAGTGCATATTATTATCAGAGTTGTCTTTTTTGTTTGCATTTTGACTGCTTGTGTTGTGGTTATTGCAAACATGATGCCTTGAATAAAGGTGTCAGTTTTTGTGCCAGTTAAAAGGGTAAAACCTATTCCTAAACTCCTAATCCTTCACACAAAAGCACAGATAAAAGGAGTTGGGAAAATCAATTGTCAATACCTACAGATAACTCGGAGGTAATGGGATAAATTTGCCAATAGTGCATCTCATCAGCGGCATTGATTCAACAAAAGCAACAGCCTGGACAAGCTTGGACACTCAGTGTCTCATCAGCAGTCAGGCTCGCTTGAACCAACACGGGTGGAACTGTCAGATGTTATTGGCAGGGACCCACTCTGTTAGATATGGGACATTGCTCCATTAGTTCGAGCCTGGCCCTGCTCATGTCGCTGCAGTGCACGGAACATTCGACGCCCTCTGGTGGAGGAATCACTGACTGCAGATTATTGGGTTGAAGCTGCCTTGGCAGCGGTTACCGTCAACATAAAACTCTACACATTCGTCCATAACTATAACTGTTAAGAAAATAACAACGCGTACAGGCAACGTTTTGGGAATGACCTCCGGCCCCGCGTGGCCGGGTCGATACGTGGCCTCGTCCCGCGACCTCTGGTGGTGGAGGTGGGAATGGGACCTGGATCCTGGGAGGAGACCTCGCAGTCTAAAAAACCTGACCAACATGGACGCCCGCTAAATAACCTGACCAACATGGATGCCCGCTAAATAACCTGACCAACATGGACGCCCGCTAAAAAACCTGACCAACATGGACGCCCGCTAAATAACCTGACCAACATGGATGCCCGCTAAATAACCTAACCAACATGGTCGCCCACTAAATAACCTAACCAACGTGGAGGCCCGCTAAATAACCTAACCAAAATGGATGCCCACTAAATAACCTGACCAACATGGATGCCCACTAAATAACCGAACCAATATGGATGACCGCTAAATAACCTAACCAATATGGATGCCCACTAAATAACCTAACCAACATGGAGGCCCGCTAAATAACCTGACCAATATGAATGCCCGCTAAATAACCTAACCAACATGGACGCCCACTAAATAACCTAACCAACATGGACGCCCGCTAAATAACCTAACCAAAATGGATGCCCGCTAAATAACCTAACCAACATGGATGCCCGCTAAATAACCTGACCAACATGGACGCCCACTAAATAACCTAACCAATATGGACGCCCACTAAATAACCTAACCAACATGGACACCCGCTAAATAACCTAGCCAAAATGGATGCCCGCTAAATAACCTGACCAACATGGAGGCCCGCTAAATAACCTACCCAACATGAACACTGTGTGGGTTAGGTGTTGAAGTCGGGGCGGTGCTTTGGGGTAATGAGGAATCCCTCTCGCGTCTCTGCTGACAGCGCGACCCAAGCCATGGACGCGGTGCCGCGTAGGGAAAATAAACCCTGGGTTGGTACTGCAGCGCCCCCGTGTGGCCGCCACGCGGTGCAACTACAGCGCCCCCGTGTGGCCACCACGCGGTGTAACTGCAGCGCCCCCGTGTAGCCACCACGAGGTGCAACTGCAGCGCCCCCGTGTGGCCACCACGAGGTGCAACTGCAGCGCCCCCGTGTGGCCACCACGCGGTGCAACTGCAGCGCCCCCGTGTAGCCACCACGAGGTGCAACTGCAGCGCCCCCGTGTGGCCACCACGAGGTGCAACTGCAGCGCCCCCGTGTGGCCACCACGCGGTGCAACTGCAGCGCCCCCGTGTAGCCACCACGAGGTGCAACTGCAGCGCCCCCGTGTGGCCACCACGAGGTGCAACTGCAGCGCCCCCGTGTGGCCACCACGCGGTGCAACTACAGCGCCCCCGTGTGGCCACCACGAGGTGCAACTACAGCGCCCCCGTGTGGCCACCAAGAGGTGCAACTACAGCGCTCCCGTGTGGCCACCACGAGGTGCAACTACAGCGCTCCCGTGTGGCTACCACGAGGTGCAACTACAGCGCTCCCGTGTGGCTACCACGAGGTGCAACTACAGCGCTCCCGTGTGGCTACCACGAGGTGCAACTACAGCGCTCCCGTGTGGCTACCACGAGGTGCAACTGTAGCGCTCCCGTGTGGCTACCACGAGGTGCAACTACAGCGCTCCCGTGTGGCTACCACGAGGTGCAACTGCAGCGCTCCCGTGTGGCTACCACGAGGTGCAACTACAGCGCTCCCGTGTGGCCACCACGAGGTGCAACTACAGCGCCCCCGTGTGGCCACCACGAGGTGCAACTACAGCGCTCCCGTGTGACCACCACGCGGTGCAACTACAGCGCCCCCGTGTGGCTACCACGCGGTGCAACTGCAGCGCCCCCGTGTGGCCACCACGAGGTGCAACTACAGCGCCCCCGTGTGGCCACCACGAGGTGCAACTGCAGCGCCCCCGTGTGGCCACCACGAGGTGCAACTACAGCGCTCCCGTGTGGCTACCACGAGGTGCAACTACAGCGCTCCCGTCTGGCTACCACGAGGTGCAACTTCAGCGCTCCCGTGTGGCTACCACAAGGTGCAACTTCAGCGCTCCCGTGTGGCTACCACGAGGTGCAACTGCAGCGCCCCCGTGTGGCTACCACGAGGTGCAACTACAGCGCCCCCGTGTGGCCACCACGCGGTGCAACTGCAGCGCCCCCGTGTGGCCACCACGCGGTGCAACTGTTGTGCCACACAACAGTTGTGTGGCACAACAGCGCGTCAATCAGAATCAATAAATCTATAGTGGAGGAATCCGATTAGCTATGAAGCTCTTTTTCACAGATGTCCAGTCGGGGTGGGTCAGAACGCTAAAACAACAACAAACACGATAGGAGCGCTGTGGCACTGTGCGGTGTGTTCGTGGCTTCAATGTGGCGAACCGTGTTAAGTGAGAAGTTAAGTTTGGGTCACGACTGAGCATTCAAAAGCGAACGACTGCCTCGTTGATGCGGGAGCGGTATTGTGGCCAGAAATTTGCATCACACATCCTGAAGCATCCCCAGCAAGTTGTGTGAGCTAAAGGTGTTCTCTTGTGCGCGCTGTAACGGGGAAGCGATACAAAAGAAATTGGTCGCTGTAAACTGCGACGTTTCAGCTATGGTGAAGATGCAGGATTTCATGATAAGTATTCAAGCTTGCTATTAAAAGTAAATATGCCATTATGCTCATATGAGCGTAGTCTTCTCTCCATTGCCAATCCCAAGATGATCGGGGCCAGTATCACTATGTGTAGGCATGTATGTGTGTAACAAGAGGGGCAAGTATATCGGTAGGTGAGTTAGTGGGTAGGCAAATAAGGTGGATGGGTAGGTGAGTTGGTGGCATTGGTCTATCAATTCGATGGCATTGTCACGATTCAGATTCCAAATTCCATTCAAGAACTGGTTCTTTTTGTTCTTACATTGTGGCGAATGCAGGTGCTCCGATGGGCTCGACCTGAAAGCGTAAGCCCATCACATGAGGCACGTGGAATCTAAAGATAACCATTCTTACATTTGCTCTTCGATCCGTGTGCCCCGATTTAAGAATCGATATTAATCGGTAAGTAGGTCAGGGCACATCCTACGGCTCGAAGCAGAGCTGACAGTGGCAGATCGTGTCTTACAGATTGATGAGGCAACAAGGTCCATCCCGCGGGTTTTCCATTCTCAGATGACAACACATGCAGGTGGTAGATTCATTGAACAACTGGAATGTCTCCGGCTGTGGCTCCATTATCAGATGGGCGCACACAACCCACGCAACTTCCCAGAAGTGGCCTGATAAGAGTCCGGCACTGATGCAGCATCATCATCACACGTTGCCTCTGAATTGAAATGATCAATTAGACTCACATCGAGTATGCATAGACGTACACAAGCATCATCAACCATCACGCGCGCTTCGGTCATCCTCGCAGCTGCAGTAGCAGATGGTTTTGGCTGGTCAACGAACAACACGGTCACCGCATCGCGCGCTTACAGCTGCGCTTCTTGCGGCCGTCTGGAACGCTCTTCCCTCTGATATTAGGAAGCCACTGGAGCCATGCACTTTTAAATCCAGATTGAAAACTAATTTCTTTTTAAAGAAGCTAAAGAAGCTAAACATACATACACATAAAGCTAAAGACTTAGATTTTAGACCCGTAGACTCGAGAGAGGAATGCACTAGCGGTGACTTTTCATCCTTAGCGATTTCTCCAGCTGACCGGCACTCGCAGCCCAAGCAGCTTCACCAGGAGAACCGGTCGGACAGAGATCAGCACTGGTACAGCAGCAGCAGCACCGTCATCATCATCATCACACGTTGCCTGCTTGTTCTAATTATCCAGCGTGGAATTGTCACCTAAAAAATGGAAAATCCCGACGCGGATTCAGTGGCCATGGACCGCCACCGATAGCTTTGTGGTGAGCTGGGCTCTGCGAGAGGTGGATGCTTTGATGTGATCTTCCCTCTCTGCTACTCCAACCATGTGCTGACCACATGACACCTGTGCCTCGGAGCGGCTGAGGATGTGAACCCTTTGTGGATTTGAAACTCCCCCCCCCCCCTCCTCGTTGCCAGGAAGTGCTTTTCTCTGAGCAGATCAAAGGTGGGAGTCACTC